TGAGGACTAGACCCTGAGGACTGGACTGGGGAGACCCCTGAGGACTAGAGACCTTGAGGACTGGACTGGGAGACCCCTGAGACACTGAGGACTGGACTGGGAGACCCTGAGGACTAGAGACCCTGAGGACTGGACTGGGAGACCCCTGAGACCCAGAGGACTGGACTGAGAGACCCCGAGGACTGGGAAACCCTGAGGACTGGGAGACCCTGAGGACTGGACTGGGAGACCCTGAGGTCTGGGAGACCCTGAGAGACTCTAAGGACTGGGAGACCCCGAGGACTAGAGACCCTGAGGACTGGGAGACCCTGAGGACTAAAGACCCTGAGGACTGGACTGGGAGACCCTGAGACCTAAGACCCTGAGGACTGGACTGGGAGACCCTGTGGACTGAGAGACCCTGAGGACTGGACTGGGAGACCCCTGAGACCCTGAGGACTGGACTGGGAGACCCTATGGATTGAGAGACCCTGAGGACTGGACTGGGAGACCCTATGGACTGAGAGACCCTGAGGACTGGACTGGGAGACCCCAAGGACTAGAGACCCTGAGGACTGGACTGGGAGACCCCAAGGACTAGAGACCCTGAGGACTGGACTGGGAGACCCCAAGGACTAGAGACCCTGAGGACTGGACTGGGAGACCCCAAGGACTAGAGACCCTGAGGACTGGACAAACAAACTGCTAAAAACGACCCTACTCTACCTGTCTATGATAAACTGTGGGGTACTCAACAGGTCCAGGTTCACTACAGGACTCTCTGACAAACAGACTATAAAGTCAGAACAGGAAGACATGCAGCAGGAACCTGAGGGGGGGGGGGGGGGGCTGTTGTTTACCCAACCAGTTTAGATGTAACCACGCCAACTTCTGCATTAACCTATCCTTGCATCATGGAGGTATACAGAGAACCATAAAGAGAACCATAAAGAGAACCGTGCTAACACTGAAGTACCACATGATCATTTTTAAAGAACATCCCTAAACATTCATCTGTTTGCATCGTGCTAATTATTGATCTATATATCAAATTCTATTTACTTGTATATAGACTCTTCTTGTACTATTTCTATTTTATTTGTATTTACTTGCACATCTCAAAACATTCTCTACACTATTTTATCTGTTTTATGTCCTATATATGTCAGGGTTCATACACTTTTTCACCAATGATTTTCAATGACTTCTCCATGACCTTTACCTAATTTTCAATGACTTCTCCATGACCTTTACCTAATTTTCCATGACTTCTCCATGACCTTTACCTAATTTTCCATGCGGTACCACTGAAAATGGTTTATTTGAACATGGAACAGGAAAATAAGGTCTGCATATGAAACATGTTGTGCCTATCTAAAACAAATCCAATAGGCTTACTAGCTTCTACACGCTAAAGCAACTAAAATCTCTCACCAGCAAAACACCTCGTCAGTTAAATGCCATTTTATGTTTCATTACTATACGATACAGTATTTATTATCATTATAGTATTACTATTTCGGCTATTAGCTAAAATATAAATTATATTTGATGCACCTTTAGTTACATTTCCATGACTTTTCCAAAACTTGGGGAAAAATATTGTTTTCCAGGGCCTGGAATTAGCATTTTGAATTTCCATGACTTTTCCAGGTTTTTAATGACCGTAAGAACCCTGATATATTCATGTTGCTCTGTTGGAGGAGCCTTCCGTTTTTCATTGCCATATCTCCACTGTAGCTGCTGAGCACATGGTGATGAAGCCTTGAAACTAATGCAAAGTGGGGGGGGGGACAAACTGGCCATTTCAGTGATGGAACCAGTGCCCCCAGTATAACTGACTATGGTTGTTAGACTGATTAACAGCTACAGAAGGGTTGCAGTGGAATTGTCCAAAAATCAGCTCCTATGGTCTTTTCCTATTCACTATTCCTCTCCTCTGTGTGAAACGTCACGGGGTTAAGGAATAGTGGATAGGAGGATTCAAAAGGACTGCGGTGCTTTGAGAATCCGACTTTTAGTGTTGAACGTTCAAAACAAAGCACTTTGGCAAGTTACCACATAAGTTGATATGCATTTCACGGTCACGATCGGTTGTTTCCGTGAACGGCCGAATGTTGTGTGACGGCAAATGCTGCGGCTGCAAGGCATTGTGGGGCAGCACTTTCTACTCTCCTTTCGTAAAGGGAGGTCCAGTGGTTCCTAAGCTAAAGGAGGTTATGAAGGAAATTTCAAAGCTCCTTTCCTTTCATCTAGAGAATTCTAACAGCTCTTATCATGGCTGCCACTGAGGGACTTCCGGGTCATTTCACTCCGTTAGGAAGGTTCCTGAGAGAAACTGACTATTCGACCGCAAGCTAGATGCTCCTTCAGTTAGCATGGCTCTCTCTATACGGCCATGAATGCAGAAGTGGGCGTGGTCACATCTAAACTGGGTTGTAAAAAGACAGACTGGGAGGGGTTCATGCAGTTAATCTCATGCAGGAGTTGATGTGAAGACCCCCCCCCCCCGCAGCAGGGAGCGTTCACACAAGTCTACAGGATCAGCAGAATCTCTGATCAGTGATGAAGAGGAGGAGGAGACTTTCTTCTTCTTCAGTTTAACAGAGTGAGGAAGAGGAGGAGGAGGAGACAGCTCCCACAGAATGATTCATATGGAGTTCATATGAGAGTGAGCAGAGCTTAGAGGAAACAGAGAGACAGTTAGCAGAGTTAGCAGAGTTAGCTTCAGTCTGACAGAGAGGAGACAGCCCCCCCATGGTGAGGCACAACTAAAAACACTGGATAAAGACTGAAGGCTGGGGTGTGAGCGCTAGAAGCAAAGAGAGGTTAGACATGATTCACTGCAGAGAACTGATGAAGAGCTGTGTGTGTTCCTGACATAATGCATTCAATGAACCTCTCAGATCTGAGGGGGTGTAAGAGAGGTGAGAGAACAGTTCAGAGGGATCTGTTTCTGATCAGCATTAGTAGAACGGGGAAATGCTTGAAATCACTGTGAGAAATACTGAAATGTGTGAAGAGGAGAGAGCCCAGACACATCACTAATGAAGTTCAACCATTAACCCGGACTGTGCTCTGGCTTTTAACACTATTGAACATGACATCTAGTTATTGTGCTTTTTATCTTGTTTTGAAGTATTGTGTTATTATTTACTCCTGTTACCCTATATTGCAGGGGTGTCAAACTCAAGGCCCGGGAGCCAAATCCGGCCCGCGACTTCCTTTTATGTGGCCCCGCAAGAGCTTGCAAAGAATATAATACGTTTATTATACGGTCACATGCCACTTTACAGAAGCAGGTTGCCCATAAACTACATGTCCCACAATGCATCTCGTTTTGTGACATGCGCACTGAAGAGACTTGCAATTATTTGCACTGGACTTCTGCTTTCAGACGTAGTTAGTTATTACCCTATCCGATAATAATTATTTTATATATATATTATATATTTATATATGTATATTTATATAGTTACAACCGGCCCTTTGAGTGCAACCATAATGCTAATGTGTCCCGCGATGAAATTGAGTTTGACACCCCTGCTATATTGTATGTATTCAGCACTTTGGTCAACTGAGGTGGTTTTAAATGTGCTATATAAATCAATAAATAAAGATTGAGATTGATTCATTAACCTCTGAGGGGGATGTAAGAGAGGGGAGGAAATGTGTTCAGATAGATCAGCATTAGTATATTCATGGTATGAATGGAAGTGCTTGAAATCACTGGTGTGTATTTGTGCTATTTTGTGACCTCTTTGTCATTAAGTTAATGCAAACAGGTCGTATTACACTCGATTATAAACACACTCTGCTGTCAGGCCGGTATGATATTGAACGGGCGGAGACCCTCAAATCAGCTCCTCTTCACTAAATCTAGACTCACTTATAAATAAAGTTTATTTTGAATCAGACTCAAACAGTAGCTCCACTGGTTCATTTTAAGAGAAAGAAATCAATGCCAATAAAAAAAAGAGATGAAGGAGGGCTTTAAGACTGAGGAGTGTCTGTGTCCGTCCGGTGTGTGTGTGTGTGTGTGTGTGTGTGTGTGTGTGTGTGGTATGTGTGTGTGTGTGTGTGTGTGTCCGTCCGGTGTGTGTGTGTGTGTGTGTGTGTGTGTGTGTGTGTGTGTGTGTGTATGTGTGTGTGTGTGTGTGTGTGTGTGTGTCCGGTGTGTGTGTGTGTGTGTGTGTGTGTGGTGTGTGTGTGTGTGTGTGTGTGTGTGTGTGTGTGTGTGTGTGTGTTACTGACCTCCTCGTTGAGGTTGCTGACCAGCAGCACCCCACTGGACCCGTTCTGTCCGGACAGAGCGACCCGCCCGGCTGCAGCCGCCGCTGCTGCTGCTGCACTGAGAGGGTTCAGAGCTCCTGAGGACACACACACACACACACACTTTAGAATGACTCACACTAAGCATTACCTCATCATTAATGGTCTGTAAAATACCATTACCGTGATCTTTATTCAGTTACAGCCTGTCTGCAGCTCATAGGTAAAGGGGTATCTGGGATCTACCATCAATGAAGGGGGTAAAGGGGTATCTGGGATCTACCATCAATGAAGGGGGTAAAGGGGTACCTGGGATCTACCATCAATGAAGGGGGTAAAGGGGTACCTGGGATCTACCATCAATGAAGGGGGTAAAGGGGTATCTGGGATCTACCATCAATGAAGGGGGTAAAGGGGTACCTGGGATCTACCATCAATGAAGGGGGGTAAAGGGGTATCTGGGATCTACCATCAATGAAGGGGGTAAAGGGGTACCTGGGATCTACCATCAATGAAGGGAGGTAAAGGGGTACCTGGGATCTACCATCAATGAAGGGGGTAAAGGGGTACCTGGGATCTACCATCAATGAAGGGGGTAAAGGGGTACCTGGGATCTACCATCAATGAAGGGGGTAACGGGGTACCTGGGATCTACCATCAATGAAGGGGGTAAAGGGGTACCTGGGATCTACCATCAATGAAGGGGGTACCTGGGATCTACCATCAATGAATGGAGGTAAAGGGGTACCTGGGATCTACCATCAATGAAGGGAGGTACCTGGGATCTACCATCAATGAAGGGGGTAAAGGGGTACCTGGGATCTACCATCAATGAAGGGGGTAAAGGGGTACCTGGGATCTACCATCAATGAATGGAGGTAAAGGGGTACCTGGGATCTACCATCAATGAAGGGGGTAAAGGGGTACCTGGGGATCTACCATCAATGAAGGGGGTAAAGGGGTACCTGGGATCTACCATCAATGAAGGGGGTAAAGGGGTACCTGGGATCTACCATCAATGAAGGGGGTACCTGGGATCTACCATCAATGAATGGAGGTAAAGGGGTACCTGGGATCTACCATCAATGAAGGGGGTAAAGGGGTACCTGGGATCTACCATCAATGAATGGAGGTAAAGGGGTACCTGGGATCTACCATCAATGAAGGGAGGTACCTGGGATCTACCATCAATGAAGGGGGTAAAGGGGTACCTGGGATCTACCATCAATGAAGGGGGTAAAGGGGTACCTGGGATCTACCATCAATGAAGGGAGGTACCTGGGATCTACCATCAATGAAGGGGGTAAAGGGGTACCTGGGATCACCATCAATGAAGGGGGTAAGGGGTACCTGGATCTACCATCAATGAATGGAGGTAAAGGGGTACCTGGATCTACCATCAATGAGGAGGTACCTGGGATCTACCATCAATGAGGGGGTAAAGGGTACCTGGGATCTACATCAATGAAGGGGGTAAAAGGGGTACCTGGGATCTACCATCAATGAAGGGGGTAACGGGGTACCTGGGATCTACCATCAATGAAGGGGGTAACGGGGTACCTGGGATCTACCATCAATGAAGGGGGTAACGGGGTACCCTGGGATCTACCATCAATGAAGGGGGGTAACGGGGTACCTGGATCTACCATCAATGAAGGGGGGTAAAGGGGTACCTGGGATCTACCATCAATGAAGGGGGTACCTGGGATCTACCATCAATGAATGGAGGTAAAGGGGTACCTGGGATCTACCATCAATGAAGGGAGGTACCTGGGATCTACCATCAATGAAGGGGGTAAAGGGGTACCTGGGATCTACCATCAATGAAGGGGGTAAAGGGGTACCTGGGATCTACCATCAATGAATGGAGGTAAAGGGGTACCTGGGATCTACCATCAATGAAGGGAGGTACCTGGGATCTACCATCAATGAAGGGGGTAAAGGGGTATCTGGGATCTACCATCAATGAAGGGGGTAAAGGGGTACCTGGGATCTACCATCAATGAAGGGGGTAAAGGGGTACCTGGGATCTACCATCAATGAAGGGGGTAACGGGGTACCTGGGATCTACCATCAATGAAGGGGGTAACGGGGTACCTGGGATCTACCATCAATGAAGGGGGTAACGGGGTACCTGGGATCTACCATCAATGAAGGGGGTAACGGGGTACCTGGGATCTACCATGATGATAAAGCCTTGAAACTATCCCAGACCTCAGAATGAAGGGAGGTAAAGAGTTCTCGGTACCTGGGATCTTCCCGAGCAGCGAGCCGGAGTCCTTGTTGAAGGCGTTGACGGAGGATTCGAGGTTCGGCTGCCCGTCTCCAGCTGGCAGCTCTGGTCGGGTGTAGTCTCGGCTCTTATCGTTGTTGTACTTCACGTTCAGGTTCACCAGCTTGGAGAAGTCGATGCGCAGCGTGCAGCACGAGTTGTAGATGTTCTGCCCATCCAGCGCCTGGGGGGGAAACAGTGCTCAGGTGAGATGGGGTATATAGCAGGATACTATATCTGATCACATGACAGGAAGTGCCTCTCACCAGTTTGGCCTGCTGGGCGTTGACTGGCTCGCTGAACTGGAGCAGAGCCTGGAACTGATTGTTCTTTGTGAACGTGATTATCTTCATCACCGTGCCGAACTTGGAGAAAATCTGACCACAGAAACACATTTATTCATCTCTTCATACAGCGTGACCTTTAGGATTACTTTATTTAGGATTAAGGGTGGGTCGGTGTGTGTGTGTGTGTGTGTGTGTGTGTGTGTGTGTGTGTGTGTGTGTGTGTGTGTGTGTGTGTACCTGCTGCAGTACGTCCAGTGTTACGGGGTAGAACATGTTGTCGATGATGATCCTCAGCACGGGGCTGGAGGCAGCAGCCAGAGCCTCCTGGACATCAGAGCTGGGAGACCCCCCCGACTGCACAGCTGACACCGCCTGCAGCACCGCCTGCGTCCTCTACACATTTTAAGACATGCCATTATGTTAGAAAACTCTCACTGGTCCCCGGCTTGAGCTTCAACCTCAGGATCCATGTATCTGTGATCCTCTCCAGAATGGAAGTAGTCATCACATACAGAGCATCAACTAGTTCCTGAACAGTGTCCTTCACATGCTGATATCCAAGAGAGGGAGTTACACAGTCACAAGATGGAGGAATAGAAAGCAGTATTCAATGTTTACTTCAGATTAGCTCCACGTCAGAAATGAGCATGCTTGTCATATGTCTATCTCCATAGAGGCTGAATCATCATGTTAATCACATAGCTATCATATGCCTCAAACAGTCCTGATGCTCTTCTAGGTAATCATACATCCTGTCATGCACACAGCTACAGTTGGGATACCTTTGTTAGCATGTTGCTCTCATGTTGGAAGAGGACCTTCACTATTTTCACAACACACTTTTAAAAAATCTGTTAAATTGGCATGTATAAAGCCTTTTGGATACTTATTTTATTCACACAACAGTTTAGGAAAATAAAACTAAAATTGGTTTCAAGTGAAAACCAGAGGGTATATTGTTGTGGGCAAACAGTGAGTGCTTCATTTGATATGTTTCGACTCTTCTCAGAGTGTTTGAGGGTCTTTGAGGGTCTTTGGACTCACCTGGTTGCCGCTGTCTGTCTTCAGCTCTTTGTGGTTGGAGTACTGGATGAAGACGGGCACGTTGCGGATGTGAGGAGTGACCGTGGTGTAGTAGTTGACCATGGTGACGGCCGTCTCCTCCGTCCCCATCTCCAGGAACGCCTGATTCATGGACATTTATCACAAGTCAATATATATATATATATATATATATATATATATATATATATATATATATATATATATATATATATATATATATATATATATATATATATATATATATATATATATATATATATATATATATATATATATATATCTATATATATATATATCTATATATATATATATATATATATAGGTATATCTGTGGAGGATTTTCTAACAGTTTAAATTCACTCCTACTAAATGTTCTCAGACAGAAGGGAGTCGCCTTGACCATCGTGAAGAAATTATCTTATGGATCTTAGGTTTTTTTATTACCAAGTTTCGCCCGTCTGGCCAACAGTTGGCCTGTAATGTAAAGATGAGACCTTCACCCTTTTGTCTTTTTCCTGTATAAAGTGCTTGTTTTCCTGTAACTTGGTCAGATTCTTGTACGACACTAGTGGTGCAGGTTATCTGTCCTTCCAGCTGGAAATAGATTCTGTTAAATGCTATAACTCTTTATTAAATAACACAACTTTGGTTTAAGCTTGTATATTTGTTCTTTTCTAACCAGAAGGTGATGAAGTGTGGGATTTCCACCACAGCACACACACACACACACACACACACACACACACACACCCACACACCACCACACACACACACACACACACACACAACACACAACACAACACACAGCCTACACACACACACACACACACACACACACAACACACACACACACACACACACACACACACACACACACACACACACACACACACACACACACACACACACACACACACACACACACACACACACACACACACACACACCTCTCTGAGAACAGGAAGTGGTCATCTTCTACTGTGCCTGAACAACATTTGGACCCCTCCCTCTAAACGATGCTCAGGACCAGTGTTTCCGCCAGACCAGGGCTGAGAGGGCGTCCACCCCGAGAGCGGGGGGGTGACATTGAATTTTGAATTGAGCCGTCCCTTATACTATCTCTTTACGTCCCCCTGCTGACAGGGACACCCCTCCTTGCATGGTCCTTGGAAGATGCGGCGGTGGTTTTTTTTCCGTCAAAGGAACGCGCTTTGCTGGTGGCGAAAAGAATCCCACCAGACTCCTTTGCCCCTCCAACAGAGGGATGTCCTTGTCTTTTTTCCTTTTCGTCATTTCAAGCGATAAAAACTCTTGATCTTCTCTCAAATTATGAATTTTTTTGGACGCCCTCGGCTCGAGTTCAGGGCGCTCCGAGCTGAATAAGAGCGTCAAATGACGCCAAGGCGCCCCCCTGGCGGAAACGCTGCTCAGGACCGATGCTCACCTGGTTCTTGCCCTTCAGGGTCAGGATGTTCGTGACCTTTCCGAACGGCAGGCCGAGCGCGATGACCTCCGTCTCCGACGCCTCGTTGGGAAGCTTCCTGATGTGGAGCACTCTGGAGGGGGGGGCCTCTTCCACTCTCAGCTTCTTACTGTCACTGCCATTAGAGCCGTCTGGAGAGCACACACACACATATTAATGATGCACACACACACACACACACTGCTTCTTACTGTCACTGCCATTAGAGCCGTCTGAAGCGCACACACACACACACACACACACACATTGATGAGTGCAGCCCTGGTGGTCTGGCCTTTGATTAAAGTGTGTGTATCTTTATTATTCTGTCAGTCTCTAACGGGGTGACTGTGTGGAGGCTGTTAGTCTCCCTGATATTTCTGATAGCGTGTTCACAGCTTTCAATGTTCTGTCACATGCCGTGTGTGTGTGTGTGTGTGTGTGTGTGTGTGTGTGTGTGTGGGCAGCCCCCCTGCTGAGCATTGTGATGTTCCTCACACACTAAATGACCGACCACGCAGCTCATTCCACTTCAAAACAGGCGTCTGTCACTGGGACCAAATACCTCTCTGTAACCCCCCCTCTGTTTAAATACCCCCCCCATATGAATGCCTCCCAGTAACCCCCCCCCCCCCCTCACCAGTGATGCTGCTCAGGGCCGAGTTGGAGCTGCTGTACAGACTCAGCTCGTCTGATCCTCTCTGCAGAAACACAAACACACTCATTGAGAAACAGAGAACGTCTTCAATCTGCACGACTCACACCGTCTCTATTGGTTTATTGTACGATTGTTATATAAAGTGTTTCTTTAAATCATCTATGCTCTTGATCACAAGCTATATGATGATGTCTGAATATCAACCTGAGCATGGGCAGTAAATGAACATCTATGACAGTTAATATAATACTTGTTTATATAGAGCTCTTTTTAAGACCCTTTACGGATAGAAAACACGAGTATCTACAAGCATCCAACCAATCAATTACAGCTCTGATGTTCCTGACACGGAGAGGAGGATAGAGGAGAGGTCTCTGAGGAGAGTTTAGGAGGAAGAGGAGGAGGAGGAAGAAGATGAAGCTCTGAGTTTAATCTGTGTGAGTTTAAGATGTCAGGACGTCTCATCCTGAGTCCCAGCTGAATCTACAGCTGACTGATGGCCTGAACACAGCCTGGGGACCCATTACACACACTGAGACACACACACACACACACACACACACACACACTGAGACACACACACACTGAGACACACACACACTGAGACACACACACACACTGAGACACACACAGACACACACTGAGACACACACACACACAGACACACACTGAGACACACACACACACACACACACACACTGAGACACACACTGAGACACACACACACACACACACTTTGTTTTGGCGCTGGTGTTCTTTATGGTCATGATAAAGCCGCCCCTCACAGCGACAAGAGGAATAAATTCAGAGCGTATTAAAATGGTCCCTTTTGGGTTAAACGACATTATTCCTCCAACAGCTGGAGTTCAGACGGAGCTGAAATACTGAGGAAATAAACGTCTGACTTTACGGCTGTCTCCCTGAAGAGAGGAGCTCTGAGCAGGAACCAGCTAATCAGGTTTCAGAAACACAAAGTCCTGCTGCTGCAACACTAATATTAAAATAACCTCATTGTTTGGGGTTTACATCTGCAGCGTGGAAACACTGCATCTCTGCAGCTGCTCTCTTCAGGTCTGATTCAGGAACGTTTGTGGGGTTAGAAATACAGATCAATTCAATCTCTCGGTGCACAGCTGGGCGTGGATACTAGAGATTATATTATCATTCATTTGTATCTTAGGTCTGATAAGAAACTTAAAAGGCATTAATATCGCAGTAGAAGAATCCACGATATGCGATTTGATCAGCAACACCATACTTTAGATATAAATATAAGCATTATATTAGGGATCATTTAATAACTCCTCCACCCTGCTGCTTGTGTATAAACCTGTTGTAATCATCCTGAGGAGTTCATAACCCTCTTCCATCATGTAGGAACAGATGAGATCTGTGTGTGAGGAACGTGAGGAAACACAGAGTCAGAAACTCACCTTCACTCCAACTGCAACGTCACTGATGCTGGAAGAGAAGACAAAGTGAAGACATTATAAAACCTGGGTTATAACCAGGAGGCATCATTTATTCTAACAATCTGGAAATCATCAGGACAGATTTGTGGGACAGTAAACATCTAATACACCCAAACATATTGTCTTCACATCCAAACTGTGTGTAGCAGCAGTGATGGTGAGGGGCAACAGATGCACCACGTGTTGGATCACATGTGAACACAGAGGATTAAACACCTCTGTGTGTTGTTGGTTAACTAACCCGAGTTTATCAAATCAAATCAGGTTTTATTTATAAAGCACATTTAAAAGCGATTTTTGGTCGAGCCAAAGTGCTGTACATGTAATAAAAACACATTACTACAAATCACAATAAACGACAATAAATTACAACAGATATATCTTAAAAACAAAATAAAAATAAAACACACGGAAAATGTGTAAACCCTAGTTTATAGATTTATTTTCTTCAAGGCCTACTGTATATTTTCACACACACACACACACACACACACACACACACACACACACACACACACACACACACACACACACACACACACACACACACACACACACACACACACACACACACACACACACACACACACACACACACACACACACACACACACACACACACACACACACACACACACACACACACACACACACACACACACTCTTCAGGTAGTTTCATCCCACATGCCATTAGACTGTTAAACACCTGAACTCTGAAAGAACATCCAGAACATTCATCTGTTTGCATCTCATAAATATCAATATTCCAATTACTGTATAGACTCTTATGCACTATTTCTATTATATTATGTGTACTGCTTATCTGTGTTATTGTGTTGCTCTGTTGGAGGAGCCTGTGACCTCAGATTTCAGTGTCATATCCACACTGTAGCTCTGTACACATGATGATACAAGCCTTGAACCTTGAATTGAGTAGTTACACTATAATAATAACACAGTGGTTGGTGGAAGCCTTTATCAGCGAGCAGATGATCAGAACATCCACCTGGCTGCAGGTGGAAATACAATGCATCTGAAAACCACACACACACACACACACACACACACACACACACACACACACACACACACACACACACACACACACACACACACACACACACACACACACACACACACACACACACACACACACACACACACACACACACACACACACACTGCAGGCCTGTATATAACACAGCTGATACCATGTGACCCACACATCCCACTGAAACAGGAACTATGGTCTGGATTCACGACCCTGCAGGACAGACACACCCTGCACACACACACACACTGAACAACACACACACTGTAACACTATTATACACACTGAGTAATAACATTATAAACCCAGCAGCTTATATGCAGGACTATAGAGTGTGTGATGTGTGCACACACTGATTTAGACGCAGCACACACACTCTGTTGTTATCAGCTCCATGAGCTAGGCTAGCTGTTAGCCCCCACACAAAGGACCGTCGATACTGTATCACCAGCATGCTAAGTGATGCTAAGCTAAGCTATCCTCTCCTTTAAATACACTCTCTCTCTCACATTCACACATTCACACACTCCCACACACACACTCTGCAGATCATACACACACACACACCACATGTAATAAGGGTTAGTAATAATGTATTACCCGTCCATTTCTGCAGAATGTCTCAGTGCGTCCTGCTGCTGCTGTTTACTCCCTGTGACACTGCGCACCCTCACTGCGCACACACACACACACACACTGCAAAATGGAGGCAAGACGAGGCACGGCGGAAACTGACGGAAGGAGCCGAAGCGAGATATTTATTCAACATCATACCTGTATATGAAAATTATATTTTCACATCAGGGTCGGACACACATAAGGTAATAAAAATACACTTTCTTTAAAATGAAAAGAGATGTTCATATTTGTATCCATAATGCTGCTGTATATTCTCTGAATTCTCGGGAAGAATCAGGAGTCAGCTCACTAGGCGTAGTTCAGGCTAGCGGGTACTTTTTCACAGTTTTTCTGGCTCTCCAAAATCGAGGTTCTTTCCGGGCCAACAACCGGGCTGACTCGGGCTGAATATGCTAAACTAGTGAGAGAATCGCTGGCAACTACAACAAAATGAACATATTTGACCGTGATTTAATTGTAATACACGTTTCAAAATGATGAAGTAACAACATACTGATACCGGTTAGTAAAAACCTACCGGGTGCTAGTGAAAACCATGAATTAATGCTTTGACAAGTCTGCAGACAGACGGCAGGCGAAACACCTTTTCTGAATGGAGATCGGCTAAGCTAACGCAGTGTATGCTCCGACCGTCCACACTCACAACAACGGCCTACAGACATATATATTTCTGAACAGATATGAGGAGCTGTGAGCTCTGAGTGCTAACAGCTAACGGCTGTGTTGTTTTTCTGTGGTTCTCATTGAAGATGACGTCACGGCTCCGCCTACACTGCGTTACTATAGATACTACCCCAGTTCCTAAACTGTAATGGAAACGCAGCATAAAGTGAGCCAGGCCTAACGAAGCCTAGCCATACCGTACTAAGCCGAGTGAGGCCCTGCAGTGGAAAAGCTCCATACGGTCTCATTCACACCTAATAGTCCGCTTCTCTGGTGCGCACCAGACGACAGTTTGTTCCATCGTTTCATTTTTCAGAAGGTTCGGTTTGCGTTCACACGGGCAAAACTCAAACGGACTATAAACTTTAAACACAAGTCATGTGCACATTTTCTACGCCACTGAACATACTTACATTTAAATGTGTACTGCCTGGATTCAGCCATTTCCGCCAAAGATTTTGGAAATTGGTCCGTGCGCAAAGCATTATGGGGCTTTTAAAACCGCCGAGGATACACATGTGCAGCCTCGAAATTTCCCGCAACGAAGGACTCAGTCCTCGGTAGAATTCCAAGGATCCTGGACGTTGGAACAGTCCTTCGGCGGGATTCGATGACGTAGCATCCTTGAAATAGTGGCTCTGAAGGATCCTTCCTTGACATTGAGAAACACCCCGGGTAACACTAAAGAGTGACGCACACAGCTGGAGACCAGGGGACACTAAAGAGTGACGCACACAGCTGGGAGACCAGGGGACACTAAAGAGTGACGCACACAGCTGGAGACCAGGGGACACTAAAGAGTGACGCACACAGCTGGGAGACCAGGGGACACTAAAGAGTGACGCACACAGCTGGAGACCAGGGTTGCATTCGAATAGTCCATTTAGCTTAGGAACCTTCCTAACGGAGTGAAATGACCCGGAAGTCCCTCAGTGGCAGCCATGATAAGTGCCGTTCGAATTCTCTAAATGAAAGGAAAGGAGGTTTCAAACTTCCTTTATAACCTCCTTTAGCTTAGGAACCACTGGACCTCCCTAACCGAAAGGAGAGGAGAAAATGCTGCCCCACAATGCCTTGCGGCCGCAGCATTTGCCGTCACACAACAGTCGGCCGTTCACGGAAACAACCGATTATGAACGAGAAATGATATCATGAAAGTTACGGTGCTTATTAAGCATTTTAAAACGTATGTAGTAAGTTGCCAAAGTGCTTTGTTTTGAACGTTCATCAGTATTATAATCAAAAAGAGAAATATGAACGTTAGTTTTTACTGAAATGATCAAATAAAGTCAACATTTCAGTCTTTACTGAGCTGTGTGGGGTTTGTTCAACTTTAAAAGATGTTTGAATGGTGATATACACAGTGATAGATGTTAAGGACTAACGTTTATAATAAATACATTTGTATTGATTTTAAGATCTTTTCATACAATCATATGTATTGGGATCATTTGTATTAATGTGGACCGGAGGGAGAGGGTGACGAGCATAAGTTTCACTTTCCTTTCTTATTTAAATTCCAACTTTGGTCATGAAGAATATGTTTCTCTGTTGTCCCCGTTCATAAAGCATAACAGCATCAGAGCACGGTGCAGAGTCTCTAGATGAGTTTACAGTAGTCCCTCGTTCTTATTAAACATCCATGTTGTAGTCCGCTGTATAGAAAACTGTAGTTTCCATAGTTTCCCCACAGCAGCAGGCGCACATTTATGACCTCTGCTGGCGCATCATAAACACGTCGGATAGTGGAAGTGCAGTCGATTCTCTAAAGTGCCGCAGTCTCTTCTCCTAAGTCCTTTTGAATTCTCCTATCCACTATCCCTTAACCCCGTGACGTTTCACTCCGAGGTCAAGGGATAGACGATAGGGATAGAACTTAGGAGCTGTTTTTTTGGAGTATTCGAACGCAACCCAGGGGACACTAAAGAGTGAGGCACACAGCTGGAGACCAGGGGACACTAAAGAGTGACGCACACAGCTGGAGACCAGGGGACACTAAAGAGTGACGCACACAGCTGGAGACCAGGGGACACTAAAGAGTGACGCACACAGCTGGGAGACCAGGGGACACTAAAGAGTGACGCACACAGCTGGAGACCAGGGGACACTAAAGAGCGAGGCACACAGCTGGAGACCAGGGGACACTAAAGAGTGACGCACACAGCTGGAGACCAGGGGACACTAAAGAGTGACGCACACAGCTGGAGACCAGGGGACACTAAAGAGTGACGCACACAGCTGGAGACCAGGGGACACTAAAGAGTGACGCACACAGCTGGAGACCAGGGGACACTAAAGAGTGACGCACACAGCTGGGAGACCAGAGGACACTAAAGAGCTGCTTCTCTTAAAGGACTTGGGATTTAATTAAAAATGACATTTCCCCACAGAGCGGCGGCCATGTTGTTAGTTTATCATGAGGAAACAACTCTGAGCGTTATTAACAACAACAAGCTGTCAACGTGATACCAGTGATACAACGTGTGTGTGTGTGTGTGTGTGTGTGTGTGTGTAAAAATACAAACTAATGAGACTGGTGTTTATCGAGCGAGGCAGGTTCAACTGAAATTGGGAATTTAGGAACCAACAACTGACTGACTGTAATGCTCCAGACGCCCTGCAGCAATACTGAGTAAACAATCATAATCAATGCAACTCAGGAGACGTTGTTGATATCCAGGGATTTTATCCCTGCAGGTGTGAGGTGTGTGTGTCAGCATACACCTCTGCCTCACCTTTAATCACATACACTAGTTATGAGTGAAATGCACACACACACACACACACACACACACACACACACACACACACACACACACACACACACAGAGGTTGATAGCGTGAAATGGAAACATTTAAACGGTGATGTCATCAAATGTCATTTGTGTCACGGTGAGCGGCAGCAGAGGAAATGTCAACGTGTGTGAGAAGGAATATTTCTGCAGGGGTGGAGACCCCGTTTATTAAACCTCCCCCCAACACACACACACATACACACACACACACACACACACACACACACACACACACACTGAACATACACACACACACACACACACACACTGAACACACACACACACACACACACACACACACACACTGAACACACTCAGTACTCCTGCTGTCATGTCTCTCTCTGACCCTGCAGCTGACATTTTCATTTCCCTCATTTCGTCCTTTCAGTTTCCTCTCAGAGTGACAGCACAGTGTGTGTGTGTGTGTGTGAGTGTGTGTGTGTGTGTGTGTGTGTGTGTGTGTGTGTGTGTTCCCTTAAGGCTGCAGCTTAGCCGTGTGGAGAAGGAGACGCTATGTGTTCCCCTCAGTGTTCTGTGCTGCTTTGCCCCGATATATTTGATTCCCTGTCTTATGTAATATAATTTGTGGAACCAAATAAAGTATTCAAATGTGTGTGTGTGTGTGTGTGTGTGTGTGTGTGTGTGTGTGTGTGTGTGTGTGTGTGTGTGTGTGTGTGTGTGTGTGTGTGTGTGTGTGTGTGTGTGTGTGTGTGTGTGTGTGTGTGTGTGTGTGTGTGTGTGTGTGTGTGTGTGTGTGTGTGTGTGTGTGTGTGTAGGTGTGTGTGTGCTGTCTGTGTAGTATTTTGTAACGTAACGCCCCAAACAGCGCCCGTCTGTTAAACGCTATCGGTTCAAACGGCAGCGTTTTATTAATATTTAGTTTCAAGCTCTCGTCTTTAGTAAAAACCAAACTAGTGGAAGGGGAGATGCTCCCAGGGGAATCTGATCCACCTCAGGTGCTGGTCCACCCTCAGGTGCTGATCCCCCCTCAGGTGCTGGTCCACCTCAGGTGCTGATCCCCCCTCAGGTGCTGGTCCACCTCAGGTGCTGATCCCCCCTCAGGTGCTGGTCCACCTCAGGTGCTGGTCCACCTCAGGTGCTGGTCCCCCCTCAGGTGCTGGTCCACCTCAGGTGCTGGTCCACCCTCAGGTGCTGGTCCCCCTCAGGTGCTGGTCCCCCCTCAGGTGCTGGTCCCCCCTCAGGTGCTGGTCCACCTCAGGTGCTGGTCCACCTCAGGTGCTGATCCCCCCTCAGGTGCTGGTCCACCTCAGGTGCTGGTCCACCTCAGGTGCTGGTCCCCCCTCAGGTGCTGGTCCACCTCAGGTGCTGGTCCCCCCTCAGGTGCTGGTCCACCTCAGGTGCTGGTCCACCTCAGGTGCTGGTCCACCTCAGGTGCTGGTCCACCTCAGGTGCTGGCACAGCTCGCTCCCTCTCTGCAGCTCTGTGAGACGGTCTGTGTCTTTGAAATGATTCACTTTAATGAATGAACTGCTTGTTTCGTAGAGAAGCTCGTGGACATACGGGTTAGTTTCTCCAGGTACGGCTTTAGGGACACACAAGTTAGGGGGGCAGCTGGGGGGGCAAGGCTGTACAGTGGGGGGGCAGCTGGGG